GCTGACACTAATCACAGATAATGGGACAGGAAGTAGAACCAAAACCAAAGACATACGAACTTGACACAGTGACAGATGATAGCAAACACTGAGATAAAAGTGGATTGACAGGTAATTCACTTATCAACTATGCAATCAGGGAACTAAAGGCACAGATCACAAAACCAATCATAAGTCCCAGGAACCAAAACATAACACCCAAACCAGAAGTCTAAATAATAGAGAATATAGAACCAAACATACAAGATCCGGTTGGTTAGCACTGTTGCCTCACAGCAAGAAGGTCCTGAATTCGACTCAGAGAAAGCTGTTTTCTGTGTAATGCGAGACAAATTTCTTTAATATCAAAGAATGCTGTCAATGTGATTTTAAAGAAATTCAGAGTGTTCTGTCATTGTGCTGTTTATTATTGCTGGCACCAGAAAACCGCCGCTGAATAAATCCTGGATTTTTATACACTTCAAATTCTGCAAATAAGTGTCCTCACCAGAAAAACTATAGCATCAGTTATTTAGTATCTTTAAACCACCATAATAGATTTGATTTATTAACTTTTCATTAACCAGGCTGTTTTTTTTCATGTCCTGAAAATATTATGTGTCTTCTGTTAGAAAGATGTAAACACGTGTATTTTATATGGTTGCACATAAAAGAAATATGTAATAGTGATTTAAATACAATAATTTAATCATTGCATTTCATATAAACTCACATAGCTCTTAAGAATACGAATACATTTAGTTACTGAAATATGTTTTTGTTTTTTTCTGCTAGATAAGAAGCTTGGATGCGTTAAATTGTGTCCATCAGTAGTAATGTGCCGGGGAATTATTTTACTAATCTTGGTCCTCCTACTCTTCTTTGAGTATAGGTTTAAAAATTACTCTTTCATCTGTGTGTAAAGTGTAAAATGTGACTCTTTGTTTGTTTTAATGTTTTGTCTTGGGGTTTTGGGGGGTTTGAAGTTGTTTGTATTAGTTCATAATAATGAACTTTTAATGAAAACTTGGTACAAGCCTATTAGAAAAGCTCATGAAACCCAATTGAAGAAAACCAGAACCGTAGGAAGAAAAATAAGGAGCTGGAGACAGAGAAGAAACATAACAGAAGAAATACAAAACATGATGGCATAATGAGTTCAGTGTTAGTCGATCATAGTGGAGCATTGATGCCTGCTGTCCCAAAGAAACAGCATGTTTGAAATCAATTAGCTATAAAAAGACTTAATACAGTGGAGTATGTGTGAAAAATAGAGATATTATTTATGTTTAGAAAAGTTCACAATTAATGATTATAGGAGAAGTTTTACTGTACACAGAATATGACTGCTGACAGCATTTAGGACAGAAAAGGATCTAAATTGGCACTGGTTGTTTTTAATTTGTGTCACTAATGGGGTTTTCTTCAGTGCAGTGCAGTTTGTATACTGAGTTTCTGTTCCCTGTATTAATGCTGGGCGGTGCGTTACTTCACATCAAAGAATACTGTAGTCTGAAGTATCAGTATTTTGGTATTTTTGTGTTGTTATCTATATCTGACCATAGTCTTAGCTTTAGTGGGTTATATTAAATGAAATTATTGCCATGACATTGTGGAATTTTAATTTTTGATTAAAAAAGTTTTTAATCAAGCCAACAACAACACTGTTCAAGCTGCCCTTACATGTTTAATCAAGATGAGGAAGAAGGAGGGCTGTCCTCTATATCTGTCACACTGTTCACATCAACCACAGAGAAACACAGGAAGTTCAATTTATTAGTATAGTCTCATGTTGTGCATCTTGTGTTGGTCAAATCAAGTTCACCGTTTTTTGTTTTGATCGTTTGTTCGTTTGTGTTTAATTTGTGTGCATACTTAATAAATATACATAAATACATGGTAAGAAGATTTAACGTGGTTCTGAGGGCAAAAAAGGGGCCCAACATGGTACTAGCATCACTAAGTCTCTTGTGTGTGTGTGTGTGTGTGTGTGTGTGTGTGTGTGTGTGTGTGTGTGTGTGTGTG